TTGAACGATATATAATTGCAAAAATGGGACTCATATACAAACCCGAAAAATACACCCTAAGAAAGCTAGCTCAATCAAACAAAAACCCTATAGATAGAAGAGAAATATGGCATAATTTCAAAAGCCTTACTCATGGCTCTTATATGAGAGAACAGAGAGAAAGAAAGTGAAGAGTCGATCAAGAGAGAGAGAGTGAGAGAATCGCTTGAGCTAATTGTTTTTTATCCTTCATTCACTAAAATCATGCCCATTTATAGGCAACATTGGTGGTAAGGAGAGCGTATAACATCCATGCAAGGTTGTAACAGCCTGACTGGCTGGCAAGTCGATCGGTGTCCCGATCGTCACCTGTTTCTGTTAGCCAAAACCCTAGTTGCATGCTATTACAATTGAAAAGACTATCCTACCTCTGTATAATTTTTATCTTTTGCTCTTGTTAGTCTTTTCCCATTTTACCCTTTCTTCTACAATAAACTTTTAATGGTTTGTTTACAATACCTTCCCCCTGAGCATCAACCTTGTCCTCAAGTTTGAGATTTAAAAATTGTTGCTGGAGATATTTATAATCTTCCCAAGTACATTTTTCTGGTAGAGTGTCTTTCCACTGTATAAGATTTTTTTTTACATACAGTATTCCTCGTAGGATGACCCAGTCTCATAGTATTTGTTGGGATTGAACATTTAGTACACCTTCTGCATCACCAGGTAAGTCTTCTATCACCGTGTCTCCTCCTTTAATGCACTTCTTGAGTTGTGACACGTGGAATACCAGGTTGATTCGAGATGAAGGGGGAAGTTGAAGCTTGTAGGTCATTGCACCAATATTTTGTATTATCTAAAAGGGACCATAGATGCGGGGTGACAGTTTGGATCTTTCTCATTGCCTTTCTGACCCTTGCTTGAATGGCTGAAGTTTGAGGAGTACCTATTCTTGTATCTTAAAACTTTGTTCACTTAGATGATTGTTTGCATATTACTTGATTCTTGATTGAGCCTTCAAGAGTTGTTTGATCATTCGATTAGCATCTTCTTGTTCAGCAAGTAGTTCTTCAACTGATAATGAAGTTGGTAAAGGGTCTACGGTATCCAAGAAGTGTGGAGGTACATACCCCTAGAGTGCTTGAAAGGGAGGCATATTGAGACTTGTATGGTATGTTGTATTATACCACCACTAAGCAGTGAATAGCTATTTTGTCCATGTTTTGTGTTGGTTATGAGCCATGCATGGGAGGTACATTTCCAGACATCGATTGAGTTGCTCTATCTGATCATCTTTTTGAGGGTGATAGGCAGTGTTGAAATGAAGACTGATTCTTACTGCTCTCATCAACTCCTTTGAAAAAAGTCTAGTGAATAAGGTCTTTCTACCCGATTCTATGTAGCTTGTGGACAGCCTCCATGTAAAGATAAGCTACTCTTTGAGCCATTAAGGAATGGTGCAAAGGAATGAAATGATCGTACTTGGTGGACCAGTCCATTACCACTAGAATAGTGTCTTTATTCTCGAATTTGGGTAGTTGTACAATGAAATCTATTGACATGTGAATCCATTCTTGGGAAAGTAAGGACAATGATTGTAAGAGTCCCGGGATAGGAACATTTTCAACTTTGCAACATTATCAAGTGTCACATTGTTGCACCCACTAAATAATTGTTTCTTTATGTTGGGCCAGTAGAAATGTTGCTTGCCTTATTCATAGTGGCTTTGATGCCTGAGTGACCTCCTATGGCAAAGTTGTGACATTGATAATGTGGTAGCTCATCATTATTTCCTATGACTAGTCTCCCTTTGTATCATTAAAGTCTATTAGAAAGATGAAAGAGTGGCTTGCTTTACGGAGATATCATGAGCTCTATAAGTAGCTGTTGCATAGAACTTTTGGACACCTCACACATCCAAGCAAAGGTAGTAGCGGTGACCGTGAAAAAGAATCTCTGTGGTGAAATCCTCATGTTCTCTTCTGGGAAAAGCATCTGCGACTGTATTGATTGGCATATCTTTGTTTATATTGGATGAGAAAATTCCATCCCAGTAGTTTCATGATGTTTTTTTGTCGGACTGTAAAGGACACTCTTTAATCCAACAAGTATTTGAGGTTGCGCTAATTTGTCCAAATGACAACTGGAATTCATTCCAAGTGGTGGTGCCACTAAGAAACCGCATGTAATACATTCACGAGTTCTTTCTTGTACATGGACTTGGATTGGTTTCTGGGACTCAAGGCCTTATTTATAAAAGCTAGCAGTTGACCTTCTTGCATCAAGACTGCTTTGATCCCTTTGTCACTGATGTTTGTTCTATGGTGAATGAATCCCCAAATTTTCGGAGTCTCAATACAGGGCTAGAAGTCGTTGCCCTTTTTAATTGTTGGAAGCCTTGATGCTTCATTGAAGTGATCATTTCTTTAACAAGTCAATAAGAGGTTTAGCAATGACCCTGTACTATTTAATGAATTTCCGGTGATAGCCTATTAAGCCTAGAAATCCCCTGAGAGCTTTGAGAGTTTGTAGGGATGGTCAATTGACCATGGCCTCAATTTTCTTGGAGTCTGTTTGCACCTCTTACTGAGATGACGTGCCCCAGATATTCTACTTTAGTTTACATGAAGCAACATTTAAATTTTTTCATATAATTTGTTTTTCCGCAATATCTTCCGTACTTTTTCAAGTTGAAGCAAATGCTCTTATTCACTGGAGCTGTAGATTAGGACATTGTTAAAAAAGACAATAACAAGTTTTAGACGGAATTCTTTGAAAACATGATTCATGAGAGTCTAGAAAATGGTTGGGACGTTGGTGAGACCAAAAGGTATAAATCTAACTAATAATGGCTCTAATGGGTCTGAAAAGCTGTTTGGTGAATGTCTTCGTCCTTAACACGGATCTGGTAGTATTTTGTTAAATCAAGTTTTGAAAAAATAGAAGCACCATGTAACTCATTAAGTAAGTCATCAATAATGGAAATAGGAAATTTATCTTTGATAGTTAACAAGTTGAGTTCTCCGTGATCCACACAAAATCTCCATGTTCCATCCTTCTTTTTGACCAAGAAGACTGGAGATGAGAATGGATTATGACTGGGCCAAATGATTGATTCCTATAACATCTTCTATATTTGTTTTCCTATTTCATTCTTAGGGAAGAAGGAATACCTATAAGGACATATGTTAACAGTTGCCTCTTCTTTGAATAATGATATGGCATGGTCGAATTCTTTGGATGGAGGCAATCTCTGAGACTCCTTTAATACATCCTTCTTTTGGTCTAGCAAGGACTCTAAGGGCTCATTATGGTTCATAGTGACTCGGACTTCTAGGTCAACCTTCATAACTAGGAAAACAGTCCCTCCTTCCATGATGTGTTTTTGCTTTCCCCATTTCTTAGCAGAGGTCTCTTTTATGTTGATGGATAATTTTCCACTTGTGTCACTCCCTTTTAGTACTGTGAGGGAGTTGCCATAATGAAACTTGACAGTGGCTTAGACAAAATCGAATATCACAGGAGAAAAAAATGCTTCATTCAGTACACTCCCAATATCATGTCATACTATCGAGTTGAATTACATGAAAGTTATATACATATATTCTTGCATTATTCAAGTAACCTCCGGGCATTCAATACTGCTTGTGATTTGCTGTCCCTTTGCTACCATCACCATAAGTGGTTTGCTACTGAGCACTCGATTTTTAATTCATCTAGCAACAACTTTATCTAGGAAAGAATGTGAACTTCCACTGCTCAACAAAACCAGTACACCATACGCGTCCAACGTCCCTCTGATTTTAAGAATGCTGCCTGCTGAGACTCCTCTTGCGGCATGTATGGATAAAGGTGTCTGTTGGGTTTTCTTCTTCATTGGTTGCCAGCTCGTAAAGGTACTTTTTCTATCGTGTCTTCCTGGTTGGGGACTTCCTCTACTTTTACCATAATTTTATTTCGGTAGTGTTGACTTGGGAAATAACAGTCACAACATTTATAGCATGATGCTCTTGGAAGCACACTTGGAGTTTCGGGCTGTCACCATCCTCGTACCCTGCAAATGAGTAGGAAGTTCTCTCCGCGAAGTATAAACTTCTGAACATATTGATTATAGATTACTCTTGAAGCAGAGCTCGCTCAACGGCTTGATTGAGTGAGCAGGGTTTGAGAAATCTTGTCATTGACTGTAGTTCTGATTTAGACCGCTAATGAAACTGGAGATAAAAAATTTATTCGAGAGAGTTGGATTTTCCGCATTTATTAAGGCGTACAAATGCTTAAAAACACTTTTGATATTCTACAACAATTTCAGTTTGCGTCATTTTGTTAAATTCTTTATGAAATCCTTTCTCAAATGACCTCCAAATTTTCAGCAAAACTCCTCCATGAAATATTCCAACTCATCATTTTTTGCCAATCACCCTTGGTACCATACATCCACAACTTCTCCAATGAAGAGGGGACTTCCACTTTTTGCTCATTAGGGTGTGATGCACCAAAAAATGCTTATTGCACATCCTTACCCATGCGTCTGAATTTACCCCTTCAAATAATGGAATTTCCACCTTTGGAAAAGTAGTGGAATGGGGTGAACCAGTTCAGTTCAATGGAGCAAGTGAACTGATTCAGTTCAACGTATCCTGTGGACCGGTTAGGTTCAGAGTCTCAAGTGAACTGGTCCTCATTTTCTCATGCAAACCGTTCTGAGCTTGTCTTATACCAGTTTTTTCATCCGGGTGGAAGGTAGTCCTTTCACCCAACTCCCACAAAGGCGAGGAGGATGGTATTCCCCTTCGCCCAAACGCCTCTGATGCTGAGGGTCTCATCATGTCACTGAGAAGAGCTCCGCCGCTAACCATCTTCACAATCATATTTAGTTGCTACCAGGATTGATGCTGCGATAAGTTTCATTCGGCTCTGATAGCTCTCATACCATCTTGTCAGAAGTCTTACTCATGACTCTGATATGAGATAATAAAGAGAAAGAAAGTGAAGAGTCAGTCGAGAGAGGGAGTAAGAGAATCACTTGAGGTAATTGTTTTTTATCTTTCATTGACTGAAATCACGCCTATTTATTGGCTACAATGGTGGGAAGGGGAGTGTATAACATCCAGGCAGCCCTGGTGATTGTAACAGCCGGAAGGCCAACAAGTTGACTGGGTAAGGGTCCTGATTGTCACCTGTTTCTGTTACCCGAAAGCCTAGATGATGCTGTTACAATGGAGAAGACTATTCTTCCCTGTATAATTTGTCTCTTTCGCTCTTGTATAGCATTTTCCCATTTTATTCTTTCTTCTACAATAAACCTCAAGTGGTTTATCTATTTATAAAGATAGGATTACGTAGATTGTAAGATTTTCAATGTAATATTATCAAACAAAATTATGTAAGCCCCATGCTTGTTGCGATAATGTGCATAGAAATTTCAAAATGTTAAACTCCAGTATTTTTATCAACTGAGGAGGAATAGTACTTTAACAAAACTCCTTGGCTATATGACATGCCTAAACATGCTTAAAAACTCCAGCAATTGAAGAGAGCAAACAAAAAGAAATAAAGAAATAAAGAGAGACCCTAGTGAAAAGCAAAATCATGGGAGAATATTAAATGCATCAGACTAATAAAATGACCTACCTGATAATTGTTGTTTTTCCCACTCCTGGAGGACCAATAAGCAACAGGGAAGCCCCATCTTGAACCAAATCCTGCAGAAGACTAGCACTTCCCAGTATTGCTCGACCAACACGACAAGTTAAACCAATAATTGTGCCCTTTCTATTCCTGATCACACTAATGCGGTGCAACGTCTGGCTGATGCCTGCTCGATTGTCAATAGCAAAGTCACCAACCTGCAATATGTGGTTCCGGTAAATGGAAAGCAGATTTTCTCCTGGAGAATTGATCCAAAATAATATTTCTTTTGGGAGAAGCTACTTAGTTAAAATTGTGGATGAAAGAATGAACCACTCTGTTATGGTCCCAATTAATGGATCTAGTTATGGGACAATTAATACATAAATCAGTAAGAAGGACAAAGTTATTCTTTGATTTTATGTCTTCACCTGTTTTTTGATGTAAATTAAGGGCTCGTTAGAAAGAGAGAACCCTATGATCTCTAAACTAAGAAGTACTTTGCTTTAAAATTCTTCTTCATACATAATCTGTCCTAAGGATAGCAAATCTGGTTTTATTACAATGAAAGTGTAGGTATTTGCAAGTTATTTCCAAAATTTAGTAACTACCTTGTCTAATCCCCTTAATCTCTTTCCAGTAACAATCCATAATTTACCTAATATCCCTACATAATGATCTTACAAAATAAAATATAGAAAAAATAAAACAGAATATTTTTACAACTCGCCTACATCTTAGTTGCATGCTAACATTACTTCCTCCTTTAAAAGTGCACTGTCCTCAAACGCAAAAGCCGATGCCCAAGGTGGATCCTTTCGCCTCTCAAATCTCTCTTAAACGAAAGTGTTGGCTGTGAACAGTTCTTCCACTTCAAGATAGAAGTGACGCTCACATCGGTGGTCGGGCGTAAACTACTCATCACAGTTGAAGCAGAGGTTCTAGGCACGAGGGACAGAAATTTGCGGCCAGATTCAAGGTCTAGTATCATCAATGAAACGCGACCTACTGGAGAAGAATAAGAGGGAATGTCACAAGAAGGCGTTGAAATACCCACTCCTATTCTGCTGTGGTCAGATCTGTGGGAGAATGTAGTTCCACTTCTAAAACAATATAATCTCGCAGGAAACTTTAAGAAAATTTTCACTTCCTGTTCGGCCGTCAATGTGCTCGTCTGTGCCAATAATAATCCAAATTTCTTTTGATCCTCAAGAATAGTCTTTATTTGGCGCAATTTGCTAAGTTCGCCCAGTAAGTTACTTCTAAACGGTGGCCAAAATCTGAGTTGATAAAAATGCTTAAATTCTGGCTACTGCAAATTAAGCCTATCAAAATCAAACTTCATGAACCAAAGTTGTGCTTCAGCTTCAAGATGAAAGGAGGCCAAGGAGACTTTACCATCATCTAGTGTAAGTTGGTGTTGAAAAAATATTCACAGGGAACCAACGATGGTAAGGGATCTCCAGAACCATCAAAATAGGGAAAGCCCAATTCGGCGTAACGAGGCAGAAACGGGGTCTAGCCGCACTGGGAATTTTCTTTCTCGGGCATTTCGTGCTCGGCAGAATCTGCAGCACCCAAATGGCGTGACTGCTAATGGTCCGCCTAGCTGCTTCCTTCACGGGACTCCTTTGAAGCAATTCTGGCGAACAAGTCTTCCAATTTTCCCGTTGAGGTTTCAAACTTTGATTTGTCGTGTGCCCAATTCTTTTTATAAGTGTAAAGAAATTTCTCATGGATTATAACTCTCCCATAATTATTGGCTTTAATACCATTGTTATAGTCCCAACTAATGGATCTAGTTATGGGACGACTGAGATATAAATCAATAGGAAGGACAAAGTTCTTCCTTTTTAGATTGAAAATAAGGATACGCAAGGAAGAGAGAATCCTACAACCTCTAGAGTAAGAAATGTACTCTGCTTTGAAATTCTTCTTCATGCATAATCTACCTTTAAGGACAACAAATGTGGTTTTATTACAACAAGAGAGTAGATATCCAGAAGTTATTTTCAGAATTTAGTAACTACCTTGTCTAATCTCCTTAAGTTCTTCCTACTAACAAGTATAATATTCTTATGAAATAAAATACAGAAAAAATAAACCAGACCATTCTTGCAAATTTTCAGAAAGTATGTACCATTCCCTTCGGGTGTCTTGGTTCATTTTTATACATTTAGATTACAGATAAAAATATGCAGATTATCATACAAGATATATAATATATTCAAAGATAGAAAAGAAAAAAGATAGCCAACACAACATAAAAATACATGTATTTTTGTAAGATTAAGCTAAAAATTTGAATTTTGAGATACTTGTGAGTTACTTCTTCTCGTAAACAAGCTTGATTAGTATACTATCAAATTCTTTGCCAGACAACAAAACGTTACAGAACAATAAGATCCACAGAGAACAGAAATCAAACACTTAGCGCGCAATAACCAAAAACTTACCTGAGACGTAGCATTTTCAATATCCTGCAAAGTAATCGCATTCTCCGATAATATAAAATCCCCAGTTGGAAATCTAGCCAACGGTCTTCGACCGAAATCCATGACCACCTCAATCAACTGATGACGCTCCGGGTGCTCACTGACCTTTCTTCGCATCTCCTCCGGCAACAGCGCCAAAAGGCGGTCCAATTCGGTATTGAAATCATCTCCAGTGGAATTAGAAGAAGACGCCGATAAAGAAGCAGCAGCAAAAGATGCAGAAAACGACAGAGAAGAAGCCAGAAAATTTCTCAGGTGACAAGAAAACGAGCTCGGAAAGAAATGGAGGGAAGAGGTGCAGAGTTTAGATTTAAATCCGGGGTGTGTACGTTGTAAAACTAAAGGAGATGAGCTACGAACATTAAGCAGAGGAAAACAGAGCATCTGTATTGGCGCGAATTCGATCCTCGGGCGTTGACAATTCTCTTGGTAAGCGATGGATTGACTGATTTGCTGTTTATATTTTCTTCTGTTTGCAGTCGTCTTAAAATTCTCTGAAAAATAAAAAAATTATATTTTAATATAAAATATATATACAACAGTATATACCTCCCTCAAAAACATTAAGAACTTGTCAAAAAATAGTGTTTGTGATTTTTTTTTTGTAGTTTTTCTAAATCCTACTTTGAAGAAAAAATTATACGAAAATGATAAAATATATATATATATAATATAATTTTCTAAAGGGTATGTAAAAAGTTTTAATTTTTAATTCACTTAAAAAAGTCTCGGATGAATCATACTCTGGTATCTAAGAGTATAATTTGTTTCTAATTTTTTTCATATTAAGAATATCGAATTTTTAATTATTACTTTTAAAAAATTATACAAAAATGATTAAAATATATATATAATATAATTTTCTAAAGGGCATGTAAAAAGTTTTAATTTTTAATTTATTTAAAAAAGTTTCGGATGAATCATACTCTCCTACCTAAGAGTATAGTTTGTTTCTAATTCTTTTCGGATCAAGATGATCGAATTTTTAACTATTATTTTAAAAAAATTATATAAAACCAGTAAAATATATATATAATATAATTTTTTTAAAAGTTTTAATTTTTAATTCATTAAAAAAAATCTCGATGAATTATATTCTTTTTAAATCAAGATGATCGAATTTTTAACTTTATGTCGAAGTATCTTTCAATTCTAAATAAATCATAACACGATTTTGGTACCATTAAAAAAACTTGTTTAAATATGTATTAAATCCATCCAAGAATAAACTCTCAAAAGGTGATTAGAAACATACTTTATGGCTTTACTAAGTCGATAAACAGAAAACCTACCACCTACTACTTTTAACTCAATTTTCTCTCGTCAAACAACTTGGTTAGTTGCCGCCTTTTACGTGGACGGAAAAATTCCACTTAGAACTTTCCATCAATATAAATTAGAAAAATTTCATGAAAATTATGTAAAACTACTATCTAATTCTCATATATTATCTATTAATACGAAGAAATTAATTAATCTTAACATCGATTTTATACTTCTATCGTAAATTTTGTATATAGTATCTTTTTACGTTCGTGTAAAAAAATAAATATAGAATTTATGACGTAATAGTTTATTAAAAAATAATTTAAGAAAACTCTTAATACTAATATTCAATTAATTAGTATCTTTTTACGTTCGTATAAAAAAATAAATATAGAACTTATGACGTAATAGTTTATTAAAAAATAATTTAGGAAAACTCTTAATACTAATATTCAATTAATTAGTTTTCAATTTATATTATTTGTTGTTATTTATTTATGTATGATATGTATGTACGTATATATATATATATATATATATATATATTTTATTTTTTTTTCTTTACAATTTCCGGTCATTAAACTATGGCACTCATAACATGTCATACCCTCCACAAACACACAATGAATGGAGCTTACATCTCAAATTTCTTTATGTATGGCTATGGTAGCTTGGGTCACCATGAAAGCCCATTTATCCTCTCCACAATTCTTTTTGCATATATATAATTTCTCTCTCTTTTTTTTTTTTTCTTTTTCTTAAGATATGGAACATACCCTTATATAATTAAAAATCAAAATTCAATCCTTAAAATAACAGAAAAAAGTTCGATGAAAACTAAGATATAGAAAAAGAAATATCGGGTAAAATTTAGGACAGAGTTTGCTAATTAAGTCGAGATTATCTTATCATAATTCTCAATGTGCTCTTCCCAATTTTGGTTGAAATTCTTTAATTTCTTTCAAAATTTCATACGTTTTGTTTTTCAAAAGAAAATTCTTTTGCAGTCTTTCCTTAAAAAAAACTATTTTTGTACTCTTACATTGATTTAATAGTTCATCAGAGTGAGATCTTATGTTAGTTTACGACACATGGATAAAATTGTGATTTTCTTAAATGAACGGACCTAATTACGATAATATCTTAAATCCACGATTATCTTGTAATTTACGTTCTTCACATAAGTCCACCTTTTACTTTATTTCCTTCCTCTTATCTTTTCAACTACAATATAATTGACGTTGGTAGTTCTAGTTGTCACATTAGCTTTCAAGTTTACCTAATCTCAGTGATAAGTTTAGTACTTGTGGTTTCTACTTTAGATGAAAGATTCCGATGGAAAATGATCCAAGCAACGTCAAACCTTATAAAGTAAAAAATGATTGATTGATAAGCACTATTAACATTATTTATCTTAATTTAGGTGTTAACGGATATAAAACTGTCAAATGAATAAGGTTGTCTAACCTATTATATATATAAAGTCGGACCTAGTCGGATCAAAAACTAAAAAAAAAAAAAAAATCTAGTTTTGCAACCTAACTTGACTTGTAGATTTGACCCTCTCGTGCCAAACCTAATGGACCATTAAGGATGAGTTCGAGTCAGCCCACAAGTCAAGTGAGTTATCTAAGTATCTACTTGTGTACAGTTATAAACACGATACGTACAAAGCAAGAAATGAGAGAAATGATGAAGGAGCGGAGGACGAAAAGGGATTTAAGCATAGAAAAGATAGGCAGGACGAAGGAGAGCAAGATGAGAGAGAAAGAAACAAGAGAGAGTGAGAAAGATGTCTTTTAGAAAATAGAAGACGAGAATGTGAAGGCACGAGAAGATATGTATTTAAAAACAAGGATAAGAATAGTTAGATTTTAGTTGCAGATATTTGAGCGTTCAATTCTTATCTCTCTATTCAAATAATCGATAGGATAAGTTCAATGAAAATTCAAACTTAGAAAATTCTTTTTATTTAAATTATTAAAAAAATTTTGAATTATTGAAAAGGAATTCTCATGGTTTTTAACTTATTTAATTACTAAAAAGACAATATATAATTGAACAAAATATCATATTTTAAAAACCCTTTTGAAAATCAACTATTTTCTCTTGACAATGATTTATCATATGTATATATACATATATATTCATGTTTAGATATTTATTTCTTGAAAAAAATCACTTAAACTTCTATTTGGCAGGAAATTCAAGGATGTCATTTCATTGCTTCTACACTAAATATATATATATATATACATATAAACATACATACATATATATATATATGATAACATGCACGCATGCTGTCACCGAAACAGCAAATGTGGCAGCAGCTTATAAATATGACATCTCACGTCGTGATATCTACATCTCTTTATCTATCTCTTCCTTCTTCATAAAGATAACCAATTCTATCTCTCTCTCTCTCTCTCTCTCTATATATATATATATATAAATATATATATATATGTGTATATATATACAGAGGTACATATATATCTAATATGAGCGCATGTGTGGATTGTGGATTCCAGGTTGTGAGGGCTCCTCCTGTGGGACATTGGCCAGGGAATTTGAAAGCAATATAGAACATATATGAAATTACCTCTGCATGGATCTACATATATATATATATATATGGTCAAGGCATCTCCCCCACACGCAAGCTTTTTAAGTATGGGGTTACACAATGAGTACAACAAAGCGTGAGTGAAAGGATATATATATATATATGTTAATTATTTTAGGGTGGTAAAATTAATGTCCCTCATCACATGACAGTGCCCTATCAATTTTGATGTGGGCATTAATTTCCTCCACATATATATATATATATATATATATACACATACGTACACACATATACCAGTTCTGAGCCAGCCATACGAAGAAGAAACCTCTCATCAGTTAATTGTCGCTTTGCATCCAAGCTTTTGCTTTTGAGATCCCACGATCTCTTTACATGAATTCCCACTTGCAAATTAAATCAAAAATACTACTTCAAAATTTCCTCTCTTTTTAATACCTGTGGGTCCTTATCTTTTTGTTCCTGCTGTGTATACATACGCATATATATATATACATATATATGTATATGTGTGTTTTTTGGAGGGTGTGGGAGATATGGGATGGACGACGACTTGACTGATTGGATTGACTTGAATTCTGGGTTATTGCATTCGTAACACTCGCCGAAATATACTCGTTAATTAAGTTAAACATTCAAATCTGATGGATTAAAATCATTTTCAGGAGTTTTAATTTCTGTGTAAGACTGAAGAAGAATAATTGTTTGAGGGGGGGGGATCAGAAAAACAAGTTGCCGACTGTACGTACATTAATGGCATTGATTGCGCCATCAACATCACTTAATATAAGCGTGACTTGGATGTGATCAATTCTCATTTTACATCCCCTAGCTAACAGCTGGAGTTGGACCTTTTTAAATACATACATACATACATACATACATACATACATGCATACGTATACATATATAATATAAAAGTAGAATTTGTAAAAGAATATATCTTCCCCACAGGCCTAAAGGGTGGCTTTTGTAAGAGACTCTGAGTTAGATGAACTTGTTCGGGCTTTAATATAGTGCCATACAGTCTCAAAAATTGTAGTGAAGCACTACTATATACACACATATACTTATAAATCACATAGATATAGTGTATTAACCTTCAAATTCTCAAGTCACACCTGATTAAGTGAATACCCATTTGATTATTTCATATATAAAGCCTAATATATATATATATGTATATATGTATGTATAAATACACTTATAATGGCCTCGTCAAATGTCTCTTTCTCAACTTTTTTTTTCAAAGAGCTAGATCTGAAATTTATGGTCCAAAAACACTTCGTTTTTCCATAATGATAAAAGATGGAAACGTACCTTACTTGAGAACCTTTTAACACAATATACATGTAATGTACTTAGCACATGTCCTTATAGATTCCATAACATCATTATATATAATTCATATATATATATATATATATATATATATATGTATATGCAGCTAGCAAACCATTTTTCTTTATATGTTTTTTGTAATTTGTGCAGATACATATACACATGTACATGTGTATATGTATCTGAGTATACGACAAGTTAACAATTTGAAACATCCTCTGCCATGCATGCGTGCCTGAAATAAAATTGTATCAACGGTTTTTCAGTAACTGAATATTTACA